AGAAGACAAATGTGTAAAACAAGGGAAAAATTGAACCAATGAAAACTGTGAGATAAAGTCAACATAAAAGAGGGCCAAATTCAAACATGTTCAGGAAACGCCAAGCGGAGGAGGTGTGTTTTTAGGTGGCTCTTGAAGATTGGCAGAGATGGGGACAGCCTAACTGAGGGTGGCAACTGGTTTCATGGAAGGTGTAAATTTGCTGTCAGCAGTGGGTGTGTTGGCCCTGGTCGGCCTGAAGCAGACCCCCTCGAGAAGAGGGCTGAGAATGAGCCTTGGTTGGCCCGGAAAAATACCAGGCCACCCAGATATGTAAACAACCTACGCTACCCGGCCCGGGCCGACCCGGTACAGATGGAAATGGCCCACTAGAGACCTTTAACCCTGATCCATCTAACACTGAACACTATTCACAACACTTTGATTTACTTTGTAATCAGGTCCTGGACGTGGTTGCCCCCTCAAACTTTGCAAGTCTCAGCCTAGGAGGGAGCCTTGGCTCTCTGATGTCACACGGACTTGTAGGCGGGCGTGTAGATCCTCTGAGAGAAAGTGGAAAAAGGATGGCCTACAGGTCTCGCGTGAGTTGTTCAGAGCATCTCTGGTTGCTTATCAGTATGCTGTGAGGGCTGCCAAAACGGCCTATTTTGCAGACATCATTGAAACAAAGTCCAATAATCCTAAGATTCTCTACAAAACACTAAACTATGTTCTGGTGTATCAGGAGCCTAGCTTAATGTCTCCTACAGCTGCTGGAAACTCTGAAGCTTTTCACAGATTCTTTGTAGATAAAGTGTCAGGCATTAGAGCTGCTATTTCTGGTAACTCTGTTGACCCTGTTTCAGTTCCTCCATCACCACCCACCCTGAGCTCCCTCAATACTGTTTCATATTCTGAGCTGAATAAGCTTGTTGCGAGGCAGAAGCCATCTGGCTCTCCACTTGACGTTCTGCTGCCTCGTCTCTGGAAGGCTGCCTTTCCGTGCCTTGGCCCTTCACTTGGTCAGATTATCAATGTGTGCCTCAACACAGGTGTTGTCCCAGCTGCTTTGAAAGCAGCAGTTATTCGGCCGACCCTGAAGAAACCTGGTGCTGATGTCTCTGTGATCGCAAACTACAGGCCTATCTCTACCCTGCCTTTTACATCAAAACTGCTTGAGAAAGTTGTTTATCAGCAGCTGGTCTCACATTTAGCTGACTCTGATCTGTTTGAGGTTTTCCAATCAGGGTTCAGGTCTGGCCATAGCACGGAGTCAGCTCTACTGAGGGTCCTAAATGACATATATCTATCACTAGATCAGGGTACATCTGTGGTGCTTCTGTTGTTAGACCTGGCAGCAGCCTTCAACACAGTTGACCACGCGATTCTACTCGATCGCTTGGAATGATGGGTTGGGATCAAAGGGTCAGCTCTGGACTGGTTGGAGATCGCATCTCCACAACAGGACATTCTGTGTTAAACTGGGTGATGTTTTTTCTTCTTGGGAGGGGCTCCGCTGGGGGGGTCCCACAGGGGTTGATCCTTGCCATTTATCTGCTACCTCTGGGGTCAATCTTTCGTAAACATGGCCTGTCATTCCATCTCTATGCTGACGATTGCCAGATTTACTCTCCATTGTGTCAGGAGAAAGGTCACTCTATCCAGTCCTTTGTGTCCTGTGTTAACGAGGTGAAGTCTTGCTAATGGCCAATGCTCTGCATATGAATGAGGGAAAGACAGAGCTCATTGTTTTTCACCCCAACAGCAGGAATGTGGATCGTTATGTTGATCTTGGGCCTCTTTCTCCCTACACAAAACCAGTTGTGACCAGTTTGGGGGTGAAAATTGATGCTGGACTTAAATTTGATGCTCACATCAACTCTGTGATCCGGTCCAGTTTCTTTCACCTGAGACGCCTTGCAAAAATCAAGCCCATGCTGTCAAGAGCCCACCTTGAGCGGGTACTCCATGCTTTTGTAATTTCTAGGCTTGACTACTGCAGCTCTCTATATGCAGGGTTGTGTCAGTCATCACTGCGTCGCCTACAGGTTGTGCAGAACAGCGCAGCCAGGTTCCTGCCTGGGACCAGGAAACGGGACCACATCAGTCCGGTTCTGGCCTCCCTGCACTGGCTTCCGGTTTGCTATCGTTCACAATTCAGACTCCTCATCTTTGTTTTTAATTTTTTCCAGGGTGGTGCTCCCCCCTACCTGGCCACGCTCCTGAACAGACATTCCCCATCACGCGCTCTGCGCTCCTCTGACCAAGACCTGCTCGTTGTCCCTCGTTCTAGGTGTTGTACTCGCGGGGACCGGGCTTTCTCAGTCCTAGCACCGTCACTATTAGAGCAAGCCTCTGATTGGTGGGTAGAATCAGCCCACATGGGCTAAAGGCAAGGATGTGTGGAATCAACCGGGCCAGGCTGGGGCCGACTGGGGCTACCTGGCCCGGGCCGACCCGGTACAGATGGGAATGGCCCATAACCTTACAGACATACAGTCCACAAACTTTGAAATAGTTTCTGCATCCAGGGCTCTGAACCGTGTAGCTGGAGCTTCACACACAGGGACAGGACATGGCAACGTAACATCACAGAGTATAGGAGAGTGGTCAGAGAACACAGGAGGTAAAGGCACAAGGTTCATGACGGGGAGACCAAAAAAGAACCAGGTCCAGGGTGTGACCCCTGGCATGAGTTGGGGATGATACCCATTGAGTTAGATTGAATGAATCTAGCAAATTAAAAAAACCTTTAGCAAGCACATTGTCAGGACAGCAGATATGGATGTTAAAATCACCAAAAAATAGGACATAATCATATTTTAGGATGCAGTCTGCCACAAGATCACAGAAATCATTAAGGAAGTTAGTCAGTCTTTGGAGGCCGATAAATCAGCACGACGAGCAGGCGGGGGGTGATGCACAGTTCAAATAAGCACAGTTCAAAGGAAGAAAATGACATGGTGGGTGTAAGCTGTTTACAAGGAAAGCTGGATTACTGTAATTCATTACTCTTACATTAATGTAGTTAAAAGTCTTCAGCTTGTCCAAAATGCTGCAGCTAGAGTTCTGATGAGAATTAAAAAGAGAGATCATATCTCTCCTGTCTTAGCTTCCCTACATTGGCTACCTGTTAAATTCAGAATAGATTTTAAGATCCTCCTCCTCACATATAAAGCTCTTAATAATCAAGCTCCATCATACATCGGTGACCTTATTGTTCCATACGTTCCTAACCGAGCACTTTGCTCTCAGACTGCAGGTTTACTGGTGGTTCTATGAATATCTAAAAATAGGATTGGAGGCAGATATTTTAGTTATCAGGCTCCACTCCTGTGGAATCAACTCCCAGCTTTAGTCCGTGAGGCAGACACCTTGTCTACTTTTAAGACCAGGCTTAAAACATTTTTATTTGATAGGGCCTATGGTTAAAATCTGATGTTAGCCCAGATCTGGACAAGTGGGGGAGTAGAGGGAGGTGGAGTGTACAGTCAGTAAAGACAACTCTCCCTTGCCCTGCCTCCAAAATGCCTCCATCAAAAAGGCTAGGTTATCCAGAGTTATCTCTGTAGTTATGCTGCTATAGGTTTAGACTGCTGGAGGATACACTGACCACTTTCCACACTCTACTACTTTCTTCTACAATTTGCTCTAACTGCATTATTTCCTGCTATTTCAGTTGTTAATTTTATTTTTTCTCTTAAGTGTTTTTCTCCCCAGAAGAAGCTACAGTGATGTTCTGCTGAGCTGTGGTGCCCTCATGGAGGGGGCCATCGGCTTGAACACTGTTGCTAACCACTAAAACATTCTCGCTCTCCTGATAATAACATTTCCTTGACATTGAATGTGCTACTACTAGTTACCCATTTAATTATAGATTCACTAGGATAAATACAAAAAAGTTTTATCTCTCACCAAATAGAATATTTACTAAGAAATCACAATGCAACCATCAAAACATTACTTGGTAAATATGTTGTGTGTGTGGATGTGTGTGGGTGGGTTGGTGTATGCATGTGTCTGCTCTGTTATCTCGACCCCCAGTGAGTCGTGGTGGATGGCTGCTTATACTGAGCCAGGATCCTCTGGAGGTTTCTTCCTGTTAAAAGGGAGTTTTCCTCTCCACTGTCGCTAAATGCTTGCTTAATATGAGGATTGCTGTAAAGTCACTGACACTAGTCAGTGACTTGATGCAATTTGCTGGGTTCCTTATATAAGAAACTTTTCTGATTGGCTTAATGAACTGATCCGTATTGGAATGTTTACTGTGTGAAGTGTCTTGAGACGACTCTTGTAGTGATTTGGCGCTATATAAATAACCTTTAATTGAATTGGGTCAAGGGTTACACCAAGATTCCTGACGGGTTTCACAGTGGTAAAATAGACAAAAGTTGTTCTAAGGTTCCTTATGTGCAGAAGTTCACTGGAGTAATTTACCTGCTTCTTGAAGTCAATTGATGCTCTAGTTGCAAGGTTCTTTAATCCCTGGGTTTAAAGGTACATTTTGTAAGAATTATACAGTGACAGAGGCAGTGATACTTTTATATGAATTTGAGTCTCTCAAAACACGAAAGCAAGTCTGATCATGTAAAAACGAAAGAGTCACTTGAACCTGTCAAGTCCCGCGTGATGTTGTGGCTATCACGCGACTTTCCAAGAAGTGCTCAGTGGTGCTGCACGTCTTGTGTGACCATTTGACTTCCAAAAACCGCGGCGCGTTTGTTTCGGGCTTTACACTGTTTACTCGTGTCATTCATGTTATTTTGTCATGAGTCAAAATCATGTGAATGCGCTATTAGTGGCATCTACTATGGCTGTTGTTGAATGGTGTTTTACAGTAGAAATAACCCATGTACTGTCCTTTGTATTGTAAAGAGTATGAAGCTCTGGGTTTTGATACAAATCTGACACTTATAGAATAACCTGCACAGGTCTCGGTAGGTAGATGGTGAACTTCAGGCGTTTGTGAAGAACATGCATGTTCTGAACCATCATTGAACAGCCTCTCTTTTTGTCCACAGGAGATGAAGCAGACGCTAAAGAGGATAACGGTCAGATTTGTGAAGATGACGATGATGATCCCGAGAACAGGTACTAGGAAATGATTAGCTACTGACTGGAAACAGACAGCTGAGCAAACATTGTCTCTGTCTGGCAGAAACATTTTATGTTTACTTGTTTTTGCAGTAATCAGCTTTACTGTTCACCTTTCTGTGGTTCAGTTGATTACTAAACAAAACAAGCATGGAAAGAGTTCATGAATTAACCTTGAAATGCTGTTTATATAAAGCAACAACTATGAAAGAAGTGTCTTCCTTTTAAAAGAAAGAATGCATATATCTTTGAAAGTTAGACATCCAGTTATTTAACATTTACACAGACTAAATATAAACTGCAACTGAAAGTTTTCCTTTTGCCTGACCGCAGCCATTCTTAACCTAATCAATAAGTTTGGTTTTTGCTGCATGTTGCTTTTATTTCCACAGCTTACACAATGTGAGCACTTTCACACTCTGTTTCTACTAAAGAATGTCGCAGATGTTTAGTGCCTGCTGGGCAGCATTCACTGGTTAGACTCCAAATATGTATTTTTGCTCTTTACTGAACCATCGTTCATTTTTAACCCTTTTTGTTAACCTGGCAAGCCATCCTATACATGTGAATATATAGTCTCGCCACGAGCCTTAGCCACAGCTCAGTCATGGGGCTGAGTCTTGTCTTTCAAGCTGTCTCCACATGCTATTGGACAGCGCTAGGACCAATCAGAGCAACAAACAACACGACTTGTTTTCCTACACAAACAGGAAAAACGAAACCCATTGGTAGGGTGACAGGGATTAACCTGTTTGGCTATTAACCACTATATGAAATGCTGTAGTTGACCCACCATGAAGACTTCTCCAACACTGCCAATAAAAAAAAGACAAAAGTGCGACCTGCACTCACAAAAGCAAAGTGAAACTGGAACGAATGCGAACAGAAACGGCGTGAAGCATCAAGACTGATCCGTTTCCACCTAGGAAGTGCTTGAATCTCTTTCCCTGTGTGGGATTGTTTTAGATTCCCAGAGCTACTAAAGGGGAAATTCAGGATGATGACTCACCTGTTTTCAGAGCTTGCAGAAAAATGATTGATGATGATGTTTCATCATCTCTACGATCACCACACACACAAATACCTGAGTCAGATTACGTTAGTGACTGAAGAGATTTAACTGTCATATTAGAACACACAGTAAACAAGGGTTCATTTGGGAGTGTACTAGAGCCCTGCACGGGCCTAAAATCTGAGCCCGTGTCCGGCCCGGCCCGAGGGGGTGGAGCCCCAGCCCGACCCGGCCCGAAAAGGTTTTCAGGATTCTCTGGCTCGACCCGAGCCCGACTTTTTTTTAACCAACTAAATGAAAACAAAGTGCGTCAATCCTGACCAATGTGTTAAAAGATGTGCAGGATCCGAGCGTCGCAGAAGCTCATGCGGGAAGCTTCCTCCCACTGAAGCGAGTGTTTTCCAAACCCTGTCTCTCAGAGAGACTTGTCACTTAGAAAATGTTCCCTGATTATGAAACTTTGGCTGAATAGCGCTTGTTCCTGTCTCCAATGTGGCGACACATCCAGCAGTCTGTCTGAGGAGAATCCCAGAATGTCACATCCTCTTCAGCTCATGAGCGCATATGATTACGCACACGCGTGACCCAACCCGGTCTCACAGTAAGACTGGGTTGGAACTGTTCAGGTTTACGCAGACAATCTTCACATAGAATTGACTTACAGATATAAAATTAATTCAGTAAAATATAAAGCATTTTATTTAAATATCCATTCATTATTTTACAAGCACAGAGAGCGGCAGATGGATGGAAGAGCCGCGGGTTGCTGATCCCTGCTCTAGTTCAAGATATCATTAAAATTCCAAAGGTGCTGAAAAGATTAAAAATGGGGCTTTCCGTGCATATACAATACATTACGGTATCCACCGGGATTCCCTGTCTTGAGCGCAACAAACCACAACACAGATTCAGAGACGTGCGAGTTTGTCATCCAAAATGCTCCGTTTTATAACTTTTGAATGGTTGATCAGATTCAAATAATTCCAATGGTTCCTAAAGTACATAAAAGCAGCTTTCCAACGATCTATAGCATGAAGCAATCAGAGTTAGAGAAAATATCGCTATGAGGGGAAATCCTGCTGTACAGCCTGATTGAAACGGAGCGCAGCACTGCTGTGAAAGCGGATAACCTATAAAATGACATGTTGAGGACGCAAACTCAATACATCTTTTATTGTGAGGTAATAATTTCTCCGAGTTTTGCGGTTGCGGGCGGGAGTAGACATGCACGCTGCAGGTGCGGGCGGGAGTAGACATGCACGCTGCAGGTGCGGGCGGGAGTGTAACACACACGTTGCGGTTGCAGGCTGTAATGGTCAGAAATTCAGCGGGAGCGGAGCGGGATGAAGAAAACAGTCCCGCACAGGGCTCTACTGCTGCGTTTAAGTGTTTTAATTTTTTTAATGATTTCGAATAAAAATAAAGGCGCCCGGCCCGGCCCGTGTCCGAGTTAATTACACAGTTGTTGGCCCGAAGCCCGGCCCTCGGGCCGTCGGGCCGGGCCGACCCGAGGGCCTAGGGCTTCAGTGCAGGGCTCTAGAGTGTACTACATTTCCCCTGTATTTGTCTAAAAATAAGATGTATGGCAAGCCATTTTGATATTTAATCAACAACACCACTCTGTAATTCCTGTTCTAAATAGCAATAATATAATTTATCTTAGTCCAGATAATATTCTTGCTAGTCAAGTTTGAAAATAAGGGTAGGAACAGGTAGAAATTATCTTTAAGGATTTTCATAACTACAGCTGCACTAGTGGGAATTTAGCATCTTATTTCATAAAGATGTCTCCATCCTTTAGTGTTGATTTGAATAAATGTCACATTAACCCTTACTAGTTGTCAACAGGTGAATCTTTTTTGTCTTTTTACAGAAACTTAAAGCAGGCTATTATTTATTAAGGACATTTAAATGTTTTAAACTGTAATATAAATAATACAGAGATTACTTTGACTTTACAAATGACTTTTTCTGAGCAGAATCACTGAAAAGCAGCAATAGATATCTTTTTGTGTTAAAAACCTTTATATAATGCAATTGTGAACTTTATTAATACTTTGTAGCATTAAGGATTGGCTCCATACACATTAAATGATCAATAAGATGTGATAATTCCATATAAATATGAAATGTCAACCTGATTGGTCTTTGAATGTTAAATCAGAAGACTAAAGTTTCTTTGACTTATTCAGGGACCATACTTGTCAAACCATACAGCCAAACTGATTTTACAACCCAGACTCCACAAACTCTCTCAGATACTTAAAGGTTTTGCTAAAACATCTAGCTTCCATTCCATCATTTAATTCATACATTGTCATGTATAATCATTAGTTTAAGGAAAACGGAAATCAATTATTTTTTATAAACTATATACTTGACTCTGTCTGAATTAATATGAAGTGTGTTTATGGTCCCTGAATAAGTCAAAGAAACTAAAGTCTTCTGGTTAAACATTCAAAGATCAGTCAGATTGATATTTCAAATTCATATGGAATCATCACATCTTATTGATCATTTAATACACATGTAGCCACTCCACAATGCTACAACTTGAGAGAGAGAGAGAGAGAGAGAGAGAGAGAGAGAGAATTTGTATGTTAAAACAGATGTGAAATTGTCAGTTTTCCATAGTTTGAAGCTATTTTGTCATAATGACCAAATACTTGTGTAATGATAATTTTTCCAAACAATGCAACAAAAATTCTCATGAAATGAAATACAAGTGTGATGAAAACACAAAATTCTAAATAGAATACCCAAACCAGGTCTGTGTAACCAACGTTACCCCGTCTTGTTTACAAGCACGTCTTCAACCAGTCGCTCCAGCTACAGGCGCTGCGTAGAAACGGGGATTCGTGTTGGAGTAAGCCCTCCAATTAATCCGCGTATTTCCAGTAGTACAGACTCGAAGACGTTTACTGACAAACTTGTGCAATAATCAGATTTTTATTTTACGTCCACAAAAAGCAAATTCTCAAGCATATATTACAGAATGCTGTCCCTTGTTATTTAGATGGGCCTTTTAAATATCTGGCCGTCAAAATAACCGCGAGTCAGCTCGCTGGCTAATACCATCATATCAGGTCGTGTTTCTTTGTATTTGTTAAAAACGTTTCACTGCCTGTAATGCTAGTTTGTTTCATTTGTGTTTATCTTACAGGATTGCTAAGAAAATGCTTCTCGCCCAAATCAAATCCAACTACTCTTCAGGAGCCGAGAGCTCCTCTGACGATGATCAAGGGAAAGGGGAGAAATCCTCCAAGAAAGCTCTAGAGAATGATGATGATGAGGAGGAGGAAGAGGAGGACCAAGGTTTGCTAAAAACACCCATTTGTTCTAAAATAAGCTTTCCCCCAATTCTGTTTAGTCTGAAGCTGTTTAATTTCCCCTGACAGACGAAGAAGTTACAGAAGACTCCGGTTCTGAAGTTGAAGTGAAGAAGAGTGGTAGACGACACAAACTGCTCCGTCATAAACTGTCCCTGAGCGAAGGTGAATCAGGGGAGGACAACGCGTCTGATGAAGGGAAAAAGAACAAGAAAGGAAAGAAAAAGTTTGGGCTGAAAGGTAAAAGTCACAACCATTACTGCTAGGGAAGCTCCGATTGAAAATCAGGCCCAAACACGTCATTTTCAAAGGATCTGGAATCAGGTGGAAAAGATTGGATTTAACATTTTAAAACAACAACCATGACTTTGTAAATTCATCCTGAGATAGATTTTCTAATGGAAAAACAATGGCTTAGTTTTAATTAAAAAAGTTCTTCTGCATCAACATTCATTGTTGCACGAACTAAACACCCGAACATCAAAAAATTTACAGCAGGCGAGGATTCAGACACCAACATGTTAGCTAGCAGGCTAATGCAGAGCTTAAGTGTTCCCTAAGAAAAGCTAAAATGTCTTCAGTTTGAACGTATTTGAAACCAGACAGCAAAGGCAGAGCAACAGCCTCTGTTAGTGTGTGCCTACTGGGCATTTAACAATAGACAGCTGCGTGACTATAAAACTTCTTTTTTCTGTCGTTTCCCTTCAGGCGTCGTCAAAAAGAATCACCTGCCTCCATTAAGTTTCAATTTGCCAGTAAAACTCCCAGTTCATTACGGCAACCCAGACGAAAACATGGAGTCAGCTGACAGTGAAAAACACAAGGATGTAAACAATTAGAAATATGAGCGACATGGCTATATTTTCATAGTTTTAAAAAATACTTCCCGAGTGAATGATGTTTTTTGGCAGATGAACTAAGAAAGGGATGATCCGTAAATAATAAAACTTAAAGGACAATTTGGATGCGTTCTCTTTTTTCTTCTTATTTTAACACAACGCCAAGTTATTGTTTTGGGACTCAGATACACTCAAAATCAAATTATTCGGAGGAGGACACATATTTACTGAGCTTTCTGTTTGTTGCTGCTGTTTTGTTGGTCTGTAGGGAGTGACGACTCTTCAGACTCGGACTTTGAAAAGTCAGAGGGTGACTCGGACTCGGACAAGAGCAACGCACTGAGCGAGGAGCTGAGTGAGTCCGACAATGACGGCAAGCGTCGAAAGACCAGGTGAGGAGAAAGGGCCACGTTTCCAATGTAGATGCTCAGAAAATGTCGGGGAAAACAAAGCAAGCGCCCCCTAGTGGATGAATACAGTACAGCTTTGAAGTTTTGTCCCTTTCATTTCAACATTGTTCTGATGTCAGAATAAATCTCTGACCATTTGTCAGATACTGATTTCTACTATTATTATATATTAGAGAGGAAAAACTTGTGATGCTGACAGGTCTGTTCATTGTTGACAAAGCTCTTTGTCTGGTAATGGCTGACTCTGATTCTGAAGAGTAATATTCACCCTCTGATGTAGATTTTCACTTGTCCAGTGAGGAAGGAGGTGGCGTTGCTGCTGCACACAGCAACAGTCTGTGTGCATCATGAGAGTAAAACCACTTCATACACATGATCCAACGCTCATTTCACCGTGTTCAGAACATGGTCAAATAATTGACATGAACACTCCAGCGATCGCAATAAAACAGCATTACTAAAAGTATAAAACTTTATTTTGAAATCCGTATGAGTGTACTGATTTTATGAAGCAAAGAGCAAGTTGTCACATGAGGGATGAAATGAAAACGGAGCACACCTGACAGCTTGTCTTGGCCGTGTTGTTTCGGTGATTTAGGTCTTTCGGTCAAAACTGAAAATGTACTTCTGGGTCATTTTCGGCCGAAAATATTTGGTGGCAGAATTTTTGGCGCAATACTTAGTTATAATCATTTGTTTCAAGCTTAAAAGAAAAGACGGGTAGCAAAAGCACAACATGTCTCCACCTTCAGTAAAAGGTGGAGACACGAGGGTCTTACTTTCTAACTGTCTTGGATTAATCAGGTTTGTTTTTCCGTAGAGCTGCAAAGAAGAAGGAAGGGGAGAAGCTGAGAAGTTACAAGCAGCAGAAAAAGAAGCGTCGCAGGATTAAAGTTCAGGACTCCTCCTCCAGCAATGAGAAGGTGTTTTAAAAATAGCTTGCTACCCTAAAATCTCCTAAAAGTTTCAGAGTTTGTAGATTCACGCACGTGAAGTTCACTAGTCCAGTCATGTATGTGTAAAATGTTATTTGAGCTCAGACCTGGAATATGTTTTGATTTTCACCAGGGGCGCAAAAAAATCCTGGGAGTTTCTCAGAAGCAGCTCTTTTAACCTCAGGGCCAAAGATCAGAGAGCTGAACCTAATTTTCATTTTCACAGAGTGGAGAGGAAGACGGTGATGATGACGATCAGGACGGAGAGGAGCGCAAGGGTCGAAAAAAGATTCGTAAAATTCTGAAGGACGACAAGCTGCGGACGGAGACCAGAGATGCTTTGAAGGAAGAGGAGGAGAGGAGGAAGCGCATCGCTGATAGGGAGGCGCTCAGGCAGAAACTCAGAGAGGTAAACAGAAATATTCCTGTTGCTGGACGCTTGGAGATGAATTGGTTTTATAAAATTAGAAAATACACATTTACGTGAGTTTGAAGAGATGGAAAACAAAAGGCAGTGTTACAGAAACAACAAGTAACAAGAAAAAACATTTTAAAGCAAAACTTGATTGACTTTAACTTTAAAATGAATTGAACCCAATTTCCTTCTGGGTCTAATCTGTAGGTGATTGTCCTGGAAGAAGCATCTCAGGTGACCTGTCCCATCACCACCAAGCTGGTCCTGGATGAAGATGAAGAGACCAAAGAGCCTCTGGTTCAGCTGCACAGGAACATGGTCACAAAGCTCAAGCCTCACCAGGTTGATGGTAAATGAAGGAAAACGGGATAGAAGTAAGGAAAGCAGATTAGGTAACGATGCTTCAGACTACAGCCGGTCTTTGTGCTTCCTGTCTTGTATCAGGGGTCCAGTTCATGTGGGACTGCTGCTGTGAGTCGGTGAAAAAGATCAAGAAGTATCCAGGCTCTGGCTGCATCCTGGCCCACTGCATGGGTCTGGGAAAGACTCTGCAGGTAAGAAATGGTCCCATAGCATCGTTTTTAGTCTGCAATAAATGTGACATCAGCTGTTCAGATCTCAGTCTCATCATCATTCAAGCTTATTGTTTACAGGTCAGCCGTAGCAGTGACCAGTAGGGCTGAACGATTTACCGTCTTCTGATCAAAGTTGCTATTTCAGACAACGGGATAATGTGAACATCAAAGCTGCAGTTTATTTGAAAGCATTCCTGACTGACCCAGGAACTGTTTTGTCAAATGTTTAACACATCCAGTGTTTTCCCCTGATGTTTAGTTTTAAAATGTTAGCCTCTAGGCCTGTGCGGTATACTGGTTCACTCAGTCATATGGTTTATGATAAGATGTTTTCATGCATGCTGTACTAGTGAACAGCCTAGACTAGACCGGAGCATGCCCAGTGGCAATGTTTCAGCGGGGACCAATTTCACTGATGCACATTAACACCACAGTTTCTGTGAATAGTAAACATTTAGCATGCTAACTGTGGAGGTAGCTGACCCAAAGATCATTACATTTAAGTGTCTATCACACTGTGACACTTTTGGTTACATCAGGCAAGCCTGGTGCTGAGCCAATGCACGGGGAAGAAGGGGTGGCTGCCAGGACTGGTTCACATGTTATGTTTTATGCACAATCTTTTGAAACCTAATGTGTAAAATATGTAATGCTGACCATTATCGATATACTTTAACATAATTATTCTAAATGTTTTCTGTTTATTTATTTTGCTAACAGGTGTAGCCTAGCAAGTAGGGATGTGAGAAAATATCAATATGGCAACATGTTGTGATATTTTCCCTGCGATATTGCATTTATATTCAAAAGGTGCGTATCTAATTTTTGGAAGAATTCACATGAAAACATCTGAGTGTTTTCTTTTCTTTTGGTGCAATTCAGATGTTTCCACCATTAAATGTAAATCCCTCTAATATGGTTCAGATACCTCATGTTAAACATGTTAAGTTTAGACTGTTCATTGAATTTTCCTATGATAAATTCAGTCAAAAAAATTGCTAAATGCTGACTGAATGTATCGCAATATGTCGTGATACGTATCGTATCGCCAGAATTTCACCAAAACACATCCCTACTAGCAAGCAACACCTCTGTATCTGTTAGGTTTGGACTGGCTCGGTGTTTACATGTTTCCATGGCAACACTTAAGAGTGTTGTATGATAAAAAAAAACACTAAACTGAGGATTTATTAAAATACTGTAATATGAAAGTTTGTCATACCGCTGAGCTCTGTTAGCAGGGAGTGGGTTCTAGGTTACAGGAGCCTGATGTCTAAGCTTGTGAACTGGCACATTTGGTCACTTTCTGTTAATTTAGTTTGTTTTTTTGTGGCACGACTATGACTGATATTTATGGATGTGGCTTTTAAACACAGTTAGCTGCTCTTTGCTCTGTTTCCTGTCTGTTTTTCTGCCCCTCACTGCAACGCTTGTGTGTGTGAAGGAGGAACAGAGAGGCGTCCTGAAACAGCAGACAGGACATTAGCAATTATAAAAACTTTATTTATATGATGCCTTTGAACAAAGTGCTGCACAAACATCAAGAGACGCATCACACAAAGCATAAAAACAACAGCATCAATTAAAACATTTTAGGCAATAGAATTGAAATGTCAATAAAATAAAAATGTAAAATAGGAACAAGTTAAATCAAGACATTAAGAAAAATATTTTAAAACAACTGTTTCTGCAATAACACTATGCAGAATTAAAACCAGAGCTTCTTTTCTTTCAAAAAGCATTTGATTGTTTTTCTGATGGCACAAACTGACGCAGATTTACGATAATTCAAAGTACGAATAAATGTGTCGGCGTTGCAGCGGCAGTGTTTTTGAGAGCAAACATCCAGTCGGACCAGAAAAACAAATTCTTAACGTTATTTTCACTCTTGCATTAGACTGTTGAAATGTTTCGATGGTCTGGTGTAGTTTCCTGTCATGTTTGTAAATGCTGCTGTACATTGAGAATATCGTGCTGAGCCTTGATTTGAAGAATCACGTTGAAGCTGTAATTTCTGCCCTAAAATGTTTTAGCCTTAGTGAGTTGAGCTCAAGTCAGAATGTCTGAGGAGACCTTGTTTAAGTGTGAGCTGTTTTCCTTTTGGCCTGTAGGTGGTGGCGTTCCTCCACACGCTGCTGCTTTGTGAGAAGCTCGACTTCTCCACGGCTCTGGTGGTTTGTCCCCTCAACACCGTCCTGAACTGGCTCAATGAGTTTGAGAAGTGGCAGGTTGGATTAAAGGATGAGGAGAGTTTAGAGGTAAGGAAGCATTCCTGTCCTTTGCTCTTCATTAAACCTCCATTGTGGCTCTGATCATATTTGCTCTGCCGTGTTGAGCAGGTGACAGAGTTGGCCACAGTCAAGAGGCCACAGGAGCGAGCATATGCCCTGCAGAGCTGGCAGGAGTCTGGTGGCGTGATGATCATGGGTTACGAGATGTACCGAAATCTAACACAGGGTCGTAACATCAAGAGCAAGAAGCTCAAAGAGACATTTCAGAAAACTCTTGTGGATCCAGGTACTTGTTGACTATGATTTTAACAACGCTGGTGATGTCTAGCTGGAGAATGTCACGAAGGTGTAACGTTGCATCTGAGCAGAGGAAATCTCATTCTCCCAGAAATCTTTTTTTTCTTCTGCTTTAAATTTCGTTCCAAATTCAGAGTTGACATCTGCCTTATAAATGGATACCGGTAACCATAAAAACCAGAGGAAAAATAAGGAAATCAAAGACACACATCTTATAAATAAAAGTTTAAAAGCTTATTAGGATGGTGATTTTACAATGGAAAAAAACAAGAGTAGTACTTATCATTACCCAAAGCTCTCTGTAGCCACTCAGATTTAGCAGCACAACAAATTTCTGTTCTAATAAAAACATGTCGTCACTAACATTTCAGTGTTTAAAACTTTATTCTAGACTTTCTTTTTTGGTATCATTACAGAGTTAATATTTCTGTGTCCAAGTCATCTACACGATACTAAATATTTCTGCAGTTAACTTTCAGACAGAACAACTGATTGAACGCAAAAGTATTTATGGATTGAACCAAGCAGTTGATGAAAGTAGCTGTTCGTGGTTCAGCGTGTCATCTTTGTGTCTTGATATCAGTCATGTCTGTTAAACCAGAGCATTGTTGCAGCATCAGACTGTTGCTGTGTTGTTTTCTTTAGGTCCAGACTTGGTGATTTGTGATGAAGGTCACATTCTGAAGAACGAGGCTTCGGCTGTTTCCAAAGCGATGAACTCCATCAGGACGAGGAGGAGGATTGTTCTAACTGGAACGCCTCTACAGAACAACCTCATTGAATGTGAGGCGTCTTCTGGATGATGGAAATAAATTCAGATCAGATTTTTTTTGTAGATGTTTGATGTGAGACTTCAAACATGATGTTTGCTTCCCCCTACAGACCACTGCATGGTGAACTTCATTAAAGAAAACCTTCTCGGGTCAGTTAAGGAATTCAGGAACCGCTTCATCAACCCCATTCAGAACGGTCAGTGTGCCGACTCCACTCAACAGGATGTTCGGATCATGAAGAAGAGAGCTCACATTCTCTACGAGATGCTGGCTGGCTGTGTCCAGGTACGAAGGGTCCCAAAACAACCGACTCTGCTGCTTCGTCATTTTTCTTTTCTGCCTCCTGAATAAATTCTTTCCCATCATTCTGACAGAGAAAGGACTACACAGCACTCACCAAGTTCCTGCCTCCCAAACACGAGTATGTGTTGTCGGTCAGAATGACTCCTCTCCAGTGTAAGCTCTACAGACACTACCTGGAGCACTTTACAGGTGAGAACCATGTTGGAGTCGTGCTGTTTGAGCCTCTAGGTGCACGGCTGGCTTTCTCTCTCTTTTTTTTTCCCCCTGTCTGTTAGAAGTAGCAGAACCTTCAGGGAGCACTAGCAGGGATTTTCCAATGTCGGGTCTGCTTGGCACAGATTTAGTCTAGTCTTGAATTAAAACTAAATTGAATAACACTAGTAGTACTGAACAGGGCTAAATCCTGAGGGAGACCTGTGTCTGATAAAAGTGCTCTCCTTACCTGATGTCATTTAATCACAGAAGGTTTTCAGATAAATAGGAGGCTTTTCTGGACTCTGGCTTTTCCGTTATGTGTTAAGTAATTTTGTGGACTTGTGTGTGTGTGTGTGTGTGTGTGTGTGTGTTAAGAGTGGCAGCTGGCACTGTGCCGCAGGCAGGTTTTAAGCCCACTTTCCCACGTTTCTTCCTAATGAAGAGCTCTGGGAGGGAGGGAACAGAGAGTGTGGGGTGACAGGAGAGACATGGGGGCATAAAAAAGGAGAGAAAACTAGGGGTTGGGGCCAGGGTTTTACACCAAAAGCAAAAAAACAGGAGAGCTGGTGTGGGTGGGTGTCAGGTCGGTGGTATGTGCTGTGGCTCATTAGGCAGAGTTGTCCACAGGGCTGATGTTGTGACTGAGGACCTTCACAGTGGGGTCTTCAGACCAAAACCTTCACTCTGTGATCATGGTGGGAATGGCTATAAATGTTCACTTGTACTTTTCCCTTTGCGTGTAGGTGTGGGGAATGCTTTGGAAGGGGGCCGCGGCCGTGCAGGAACAAAACTCTTCCAGGATTTCCAGATGCTGAGCAGAATCTGGACCCATCCTTGGTGCCTTCACCTGGACTACATCAGTAAAGAAAACCGAGTAAGACTGGAGAAGAAGAGAATGCGTACATGCTATTAGCTCTGGGGGTGTTGAAGATTCACTTGTAATTCAGAGAGTTGTGGTGCAGTTGTAAAACTATTGTCCTTGCATCTGGATTCATCTTTCTGCAACTTGTTTCTCTGTTTTTGGGCTTCCCATAAATCATCTGGGTTCTACACTCCAGAGTCTTAAGTGCAATTCTTATTTACTGTTATTAAAGGTGGAGTGGATGTGTTTGGAAAAAGCCATTCAAGCAAGTTACATTTAGAAAAAACATGGAAAAATATGTTCACTTGTTCTCTGTCAGTGTCTGGTATTATACCTTATTAGGTAGCGTATACCGTAAAATATATACCGGCTAAATTAAGCCGTTTCAAAAAGTCCCCATTTGTGACCTCAAATGGGAAATGTTGAATCAAACCACCGCTGGAAGAGCAATAGCTCAACTCTGAGCTCCTCCCAGATTTTGGAGCCTCAGCTTATAGCAGCCTGAGCAGATGGGTGGGCGTGGCCAGCTGCCACTTGTTTACTTTAAGTGACAGCGCCCTGAAACAGCTAATTCTGGAAGGTACTGACACTGTGTAAAACTGCTGAAATCACTATGTGAGAAGGATTTAGTAAAAATAACTCCATTAACATGGTTTGTATTTACCATAGAACTATTATAACTTAAGAATAAAAAGGCATATGACTCTTTTCTATGAAATTTGCAGAATGAAATGTTCACTAGGCAGCACAGCAGACCACTTCCTGTTTAGCTGCCACATAGAGGGGTGTGTGAAGAGGGGGGAGGGATGGGCAGAGGAGCAGTTTGATGGCTAAATCAAGATCCAGTCATTAATAATATGACTTGACAGTGATCAATAAGGTTTTTCCAGGATTGTGCATGTCAGGGGTGACTAAAATGATCACTTCTTTTGTTAAAAATCTGTATGTGAAGAGCATTTCAAGCAGTATGACAAAAATGCTCCAAATAAACTTCATCCACCCCACCTTTAGTTAACATCATTAAAATCTGTTTAGAACATTTAAAAATAGATGCTCTTCCTACAATAATTACACACATATTTGGAGATTTGTAGAAATATACTGCTGACAGGTCGAGCTACATGCTTATTTTTATTCCAGCAGAACTTCAGTCACTGGATGTTGATCCTGTGTTTAGGACGGACACACACACACACTCTAGCAAGTAAATGTGTTCTGTTTCAGGGCTTCTTTGACGAAGAGAGCATGGATGAATTCATCGCATCAGAAACAGATGAATCCTCCATGAGTTTGACCTCCGATGATGAGAAGACAAAAAAGTAACGTCTGCTTTCACACTGACCCCTCCTCGTTTAACTGGACTGTTGTAACTCTACCTGACTCTTTCCTTCTCTACCGTCCACTTTTCCAATAGGAAAAAGAAACAAGGAAAAGGGAAAAAGAGAGGTTCTGATGACTCTGACAGTGATGAGGTGGAGGTCATCAAGGAGTGGAACTCAAGCTCTCGTGGCAGGAACGGTGAAGGTCGGAACCGAGAAGAGCCTGTTGAGGATAGTAAGTTTGGTAAAGTTATAAAAATGTATTTGTGCTTTAGAGTACCAGACATGGTCTAAAAACTAAAATCTGGAAATTAGGATTTTAAACTTCTGTTTTTATTTGAGAAAATAATTGATCATGCTTCTCGTTCATATTTCAGTTTTCTACCATTTAATTTCTCCTATGAACAGGACAGTTTTTCGGTCTCTGACGCGAACCTAGTTGCTGTTGTGTGAGCCTTGTCTGTAGAAGCTACCAGAGACTGATGGTTATGCTTTTGCATCCCAGCTCGGCCCTCGAGTCCCTGCTCTGCTGACTGGTACAAGGAGTTTGTCACCGACGCAGATGCTGAGATCCTGGAACACTCGGGGAAGATTATGCTCCTCTTCGAGATCCTGCGCATGGCGGAGGAAGTAGACGATAAAGTGTAAGTGTGTGTTTTTGCTGTGCTGGTTTTGGCTTGTAAGGATTGACTTGTGGCAGAGTAACGTCAGTACGTTTTCGTTTTCAGGTTGGTTTTCAGTCAGTCTCTTATCTCTCTTGACCTTATTGAGGATTTCCTTGAGCTGGCTTGCAAAACTGATGAAGATGATGAGAAACCTTCTCCTTATAAAGGTTTGCATCTCTTTGTGCTGTCTTTATGTTGTGTTAGTGATGCAGTGGGAAGGAGAGCCACATTTTTACTTTTGACTGCTCAACTAATGTGTTAGATGTGAAAAATATATTAACACTAACTTCTAGGGGCACAGCGTGTGTGCTCCTACAGCCTGGTGTGCTTTATTACCCTTAAACACACACATACATGTTGCTGCTGTTGTAAGGTCGTGTTCCTAATTAAACTCCTGCAGCTGTTTTTGCTTTAATTTTGAAAATGATTAGACCTTTTTTATTCTTCAAAAAAGTTTGCTCAAGGGATTGTAATTTGTAATGAAAGATCACAGTGCCGTAATTGGAAACACACCGACATGTTAGTTAAGAAGGCTGGTGGGGGGGGGTTGGCCATCTTGAAGGGTAAACATAGCTGGCTGTGAACCAACGCAGCCATCTATTAGTTGATGGGCTACACCCAAATACAACGGAGAAGATGTCGTTCATGGCAGCTTGATGAGTTATCAAAGCAGATTTCTCTTTAATGTTTTTGTTGGTGAAGGTGAAGGCAAATGGTTCAGGAACATTGACTATTACCGCCTGGATGGCTCCACCAACGCTCCCACCAGGAAGAAGTGGGCGGAGGACTTTAATGACACCAGTAACACAAGGTACACTACTTGCATCAAACTGTGTTGTCCAATCCAGATTCTCCTTAAATCAAAAATGTTCCTAAATTGCATCATAAACAACATTTCTTTTCTTTCCTCTGCTGCTGACTCGCTCAGAGGACGTTTGTTTCTCATCTCCACTCGAGCTGGTTCACTTGGTATCAACTTGGTAGCTGCAAACAGGGTCATCATCTTCGATGCCTCCTGGAACCCGTCGTACGACGTCCAGAGTATCTTCAGAGTTTATCGCTTCGGCCAGGTCAAACCTGTCTACGTCTACAGGTTCCTCGCCCAGGTGAGCTTTTTATATTTCTTTCCCTCCTCAGTAGTTGTGTGTTTTTATAGCTCTTTAGTTCTTGCACACAAGGCTGCAAATTGTTTTTAAACCTGTTTTAATGGGCACAGTTTAGTGACTATTGGGTCAGCATGATCCTGATTAGGGTTGTCACGGTGTGAAAATGTAACCTCACGGTTATTGTGACCAAAATTATCACGGTTTTCGGTATTATCGCAGTATTTTTTTTTAAATGTGTTACATTTTCAGGAAACTAAATAAACCCTGTATGTCAGGAAATATTGTCCTCAGTTTGTGTCTAAATTTTGCCTAAAATTTGTTACTTTGTAATTATGTTGTTTATTTGTTTACAGTTTTCCCCTTTAGTCTTTAAAATACCAATATTTGCCCATAACTTCTTATTTTTTGTCTGTTTGATGTCATCATTTTAAAAATATTAGTTCAGATGATACTCAGTACTCAAGTAGCCTTCTGATCAGATACTTTTTTTTACCCTTACTTGAGTAATAAACCCTATATCAGGAAAATATTGTCCTCGGTTTGTGTTCTTCCAGTGAGCTTTGCAGATGTGGGAAACTGTCATCAGGCAGTAATCATTGTTAAATTCATAATTATTCTCGGAGAGAGACCAACTCTTATCTGCCCCTGGGAGCCCCGTAATGCATAGCGTCATTTCAACATGGGCGTGTTCGCGACACGGTTTATATGCAGGTAGCGGCGCTGCGGCTGCTTTATATAGCGACTCGTTCCATTCTCCCTCAACCCAAATCCTCGGATCACGCATTTTAGCTAAAACGCTAACGTTAGCTTGCCTTGCGTTGACTGTAGAGTTGTGGGTGATGGTCACGCAGATGTGTCATGAGATTTGAAGCGTTGCTGCCTTTCACAGACACTTTTTCTGCACATGCTGCAAACAGGATAGCCGTCTTCTATCAACTGTCCCTCGGCATTCTTCAAATATCCAAAAGATGCCCGTACTTCCCACTTTGTCTTCTTTGAGGGATAATAAATGTCCTGAGCGCTGCCGTCTCCTCCTTTGGCCATTATTTCGGCTTTAGCTTCAATTAAGTTTTGGTTGTAAACAACAAAGCGTGCATGTGCCGCCGACAACTTTAACAGATGATACGGTGGCTGGTAAGGGTCACCGTGCCTACACCACAGCCACGGTAACCCACCGAGATAATATAGTTTTTTTTTTTAAACAAGACGGTTATTATTATTGTCCACTTTTTTACCGGGGTTTACCGCTACACCGGTTACCGTGACAACCCTAATCCTGATTTGTATGGAAGTTCTGACAAAGTCTCTTACACAGATAAGACATAAAATAGATGTGTTGCCAAACTAGTTAATTTAGTGCTTTCTATTTTTCTTTCAGGGTACAATGGAGGAGAAGATTTACGAGCGGCAGGTAACCAAGCAGTCTTTGTCATTCCGAGTCGTGGACCAGCAGCAGATCGAGAGGCATTTCACCATGAACGAGCTGGCTGAGCTCTACACCTTTGACCCGGACACGCTGGATGATCCTTCAGAGAAGAAGAGCAAGAAAGCCACTCCTGTGCTTCCCAAGGTCAGCACATGCATGATTGATCTGTTATTCCTCTTTTAGAGACTCTTTAATATAAAAAAGTCACGTTTTTGGGTTTAGACGGCTGGTTCTACTAAAATATTCTTTGTTTTATATTTCTGATTTTGTAGAGATTAGTGTGTTCCCTGTTTTCATGTGCAGCACTTAAACCTGCTTTTAAACTCGGCGCCAAGCGCTGTACTCCACAACCTTTTGGGGATATTTCTGTTTCTTTTGATTTCCTTTCCTAATCCCTCACACGGTTCTTCGGGTCTTCATCCAGGTGCTTTGTCACAGATATGCCCCCCTGGGGTTTAATAAACACACACCACCCTTACATGGACCGTCCAGCCCTTCACAGCTGCATGGATCTGTCTGTTTACTGTTATTTACTAAATACTCGACTCATTGCAACACTGCTGCTTCGCTGCTATAAACTTGAGCTTCTCTTTTTTTCATTCATTCCATCGAGTCTTTTTTTTTTTTTTTTTTACTTCTCTGTTGATCTTTTCCCGCTTCCATTTGCAGACGTGGGTTTATTAATTTCTTTTTCAGAAGTGGTTTTACCTCTTTGTTTTGATTGAACCTGGGTTACGTTACAGAACTCTGTAAACAACACGGATTAAAGAAAACACTCCGGCCGGCTCTTTCTGATTGGACATCCAGAGGGTCTCTGAGTCTGCCTTAATAGAAAATGTGTTTTTCATTTACACGGTGAAACTAATCTGCAAATTACTTCATCTCAACAAAATGACTACACTCGAGTGTGTGTGTGTGTTCCTTGTTTCCAGGCTTCGTCTTTCTTGGGAACCCAAGGAGGTTTTTTTTTTTTAATCTATGTAGGTGCTTGTATTTTGTGTTTGGGCTTAAAATATTTCAAGCCACCACATCGTCATCATTATATTTTTAATTGTGATCCTTAAAGGGTTCCCAATGAACATTTTTCAAGTTTTTTTTTGTTCTTGTCTTGTACTCGTACTACTCTGTTATATCCTTAAACATAAGCTGGAGGAACTGATGTTGGTTGGTCTCGTAATTGAGATCGATTGTTTAGTTAATAAGTTATAAGTAGTATCTTAAATGTAGTCATAATAAGAAATGCACCGATACCAGTATCAATATCGGCTCAATAATGAGCGTGGTTTATTTATTTTGAATTTGTAAAAACTGCCCGATACTTCACAGCCGATATTAATGGCGTGGGTCCACCATGGTGGACGTTACAGGAGAGTTGAACTGACTTTTTAACTTGTTTACCCTACGTCTACTAGTTCAAACCCAGTTGACTTGTCAGAAGATGACATGTAATTAACGAGTATTAACACATTCACTGCCAGCATTTCTCACCGTTTTTACTGTTTTTTCAAGAGTCACAGAACGTTGCGCGCAGGGTCCGAAATTAAATTTTTGACTCACCGGCCAAGTTGGCCGGTAGATGATGAAAATCTAAGCATATTTTTTACCGGCCAAAATTCTATATGATTTAGATCTACCTAAAGCATGTTATTCTATATTATGTTGATTCCAAACAGAGTGACAAAATAATTAAAACATCAATAAGAAAAACAACTTTTGTCATTTTACTATTTATTTATTTATTTTTAGAGATGTTTTTATGAACTCTTTCATTGAAATCTAGTCAGACTCCTTGTTTTCTCTGTCCATGAAGTCTGGCCTCCTGCTTCTGACACCGTCTTTGTGCCAAAGCATTACAGCCTCATTTGGGTCATAGTCCTTGATCTCTGGAGAACACAGCTTCACCATGAGAATATCTGAAAGTGTGTCAGGGCTCATATTGGACGTCCAGTCATTTTTAACTTGCTTCATGGTGCTAAAGCCTCTTTCACACTCAGCAGTTGAGGGAGGGACAGCACCAGGTCGATCAATGTCAGCAAATCAGGGCAGGAATGCTGAAAGCGTCTGTTTACTGTGGTCCATGACATCTTCGGCAGCGACCCAGGCTCTTGATACATGAGCGACTTGATGGCAGTCCACTGGTCAGGAATGCTTTCAGCGTGGACACCAGCGGTCTCCAGGACAGGCCTGAAGTGGTCCACAAGTGTTTCCAGTTCTACATCACCAAAATCTAGAACAGTGGTGTAAAAAGAAGGCATTAAAATAATTAAGCATGCCGTTTTTATTCACAACCTGACTGGACAGCTCTGATAAACCAATCTGCTTCTTCATCTCCTGACTGTGGCCAGTTGGTGAAGCTGACTAGCTTGGTGGCATGCAGAATCCCTACACTGGCATCCTGGAACCTGTGATTCATGTTCTCAACTAGCCTGTTGATCACTTCTGTCTGTGAGCTGATGAGGGCCTTGTTATCACCTGCTCTTGTTAGTGTTATTCCCTCATAGCAGCCTGCAACTGTGGCTTTCATCATGGGTCCCTGTCTGATAAATAACAGCAAAACACTTTCTTCCCCTTTTCTGGTGGAAACTTTAAAAAGAAAATAACTATAAAAGTACTTTAATAAACATACCTGGTTTTGTATTTTTCCAGTACTGCTTGTGTTGAACACAAGGTGCCATGGGCCTCTGCTACAGTGATGACAGATCTCTGCAGACAGGTGGACAAGTTGTTCAGATGGGTGAGGGTGTCATGCAGGAAGCCACAAAACTGGACAATAACAGCTTCCCTAATGGTGGAGTAGTATTTTCTGGCCTTGGCCTGCTGGACACCCCGGATATTTTGAGCATCAGGAGACTGAATCTAAATTTAATTTAAAGAAGATCTACACATAAATAAACAACTGCTCTCTATAGATTAAGGTAAATGTTAATAATTCTAACTAATTTTATAGGTCATTACACATTATTATTACTTAGCCAATACCTGCTCAAGGTGTTGTACAAGACCCCGGTATCCTTGCAGGAAGTGGTCCAGGGCACACAGCAGGTGTCCTACCCAACGGGTCCCACCTATTGGCTTTTGGCAAAGAACCTGAAAGCTGTTAATTAGGTTTGCCCTGTTGAGTGGACTGGTGTGATAGAAGGTGTATAGCCCAGAAAGCAGATCTTCCACTTTCTGAAACATCACATTTGAGCGCATAGCATCAGAAAAGCTCAATTCGAGGCGGTGTGCCATGCAGTGGATGCCAATGATGTAGGTCCGGTCACCCTTCAACTTGCTGATGACTCCATTTTTTGCTCCAGTCATTACTGCTGCTCCATCTGTTCCCATAGCGACTAGTTTGCTTCCCCAGTCATCACTCACTTCATCCATGATGTCACTAATGGCTTTGCTAATGTGTGATACGTCTTTCTTCTCCACTGACTTGATGCCAACAAACATTGACTTGACTTTGCCTTCGTGACTAAATCTTACATATACCAACTCCTCCTCTTTCACAGAACTGTCTGTGGAGCCATCAGTGGTTAGAGAGAGAAATTTTGTGTTTTTAAGATTCTCTCTAATGTTTTTTCTTTCTACCTCAGCTATATAGTGCATAAACCCTTTGGCCTGCTTTTCATTCCTGTATGTTGATCCCACAGTTATTCCCTTTTGTTCATCCAGACTGCAAAGAATGAAAATAGAATGTTAAAAAAATATATATATTTGTATATTTGCATATTGTAAATATACAATAATTTTAATCAACATAACTTGCCTTCCTGGTAATAACATTTTGTATTATTATAATTAATTAGCCATATTTCACATCTGAACTTAAGAGCATGGACATTTCAAACAAACAAAGTTTACTTACTCGCACATCCACTCAAAATTGGAGAATGGCCTTGCCTTCTTCCCAATAGCATGCACGGTGCGAAACAGCGTTTTCATTTTTGTGCTTGTTTTCTCTGACATAGCCATTAGCACCGAGACCGTGGGTGTCACCAGTAGAGACTCAGATTGAGCCCGGGACATGGATGTGCAGGCAATATGGCATTTGCTGTTTTCATGTTCTCGAATAGTCTCAAGCTTCATTGTCTTATTTCCTATGACAAACGAGTTGTTGCAGTTCTTCTCTCGAGCGTGCTGGCGGCAAACGGTGCAGCTCATATGCGCAGATTCTGGGTCATAATGTAGCCATTGTCTTACGACTCCGCCATCTCCAGTTCGCCACTTCTCACAAAATCTTCTGGTTGCCACTGGTCCTGGTGGTTTTTCTTTTGGAAGGCTGGCTGACTCCAGTTAAAAACCGCCACATTTCACTGCTAGTTTTAACACGAAGCTAACTGCTAACTTGATAAACTGATTGAATGAGATATTCGGAAATGACGTTGGATGCGGCGCTCACGTTTCGTGTACGTTTGTGTACGTTGCATGCAGGCGGGAGGAGTATCACAGAAATCCATGGAAGATGACTGATAAACAGCTAATTTGGTGCAAACATTTACTCGCCAGGTGGCAGGCAGAGCTCAAAATTTTACTCGCCAAATGGAGCAATTTGCTCGCATTTGGCGAGTCTTAATTTCGGACCCTGCTTACGACTCGCGCTAGAATGATGTCGACGCCAAAACAACCAAAACAGAGCGGAGGCTCACCTCTTACATCAGGAAGAATCTGCGTGTTTTGAGCGTTATCCGTTCTTTCATAATCCATTATTGAATTGTGATCATCAGAAGCTTTTCCGGTTCGCGCCTCACTTATTTTACAGCAGTGGCTCAAAACCATCTCCTAACACATGGATTTTCTGCTTCCTGATCACGTGACGTATGCGGATGAAGATCGGCTTTAGAGCTGAGATGTTTATTCTCAAGGTGCGGGGGCTCGTTCCGATGCCCACACAGTAAAAAATGCAAATGACCACTTTAGTCGTCATTGGTAGTGAATGAGTTAACAGGTGTGATTGCCTTACATCTTTGTTCCTCTACAAAGAGATGCTAGAGAAGCATCATTGAGAAGAAAATCTGGTTCATTGAGCTGCAGATTGGTAGATGCATAACGCTTAATGAGCAGTGTGACATTTATGTGACGTGATACTAAAGACAGGGCGGCTGATGAGTCTTTTACCAGGCTGACCTGCTGTAGCCAGTGGGGCAACTGAAGTACAG